AAGAAAGAAAGAAAGAAAGAAAGAAAGAAAGAAAGAAAGAAAGAAAGAAAGAAAGAAGAAAGATAGATGGATGATACATGACAGACATATGACAGATGATAGATACATAGGTACATAGACAGATGATAGAGATATATATATATATACATATATAGATGATAGATGATGGATCATAGATACACAGATGATAGAAAAATAGACAGGCAGACACATAGACAGATTTGGCATTATAGGAATGGAACAGAATGATTTTGACACAGGAATTCATCCCCCCCCCCATTAAGAGAGAGCAGAATCATGAGGAATTCTGGGTTCCTTTGGACACAAAGGTGACAAAGGAGAACTGGTAACATGCACAGAACTTACACTGTTGGGATGAAAGGGTTTACTCAAAAGTTACTTAAAAAGTTCTGTCCACCTCATATTTTCCCCAAACATATTTCAGAAAGGCTTTTTAAAAACAATCTTGATACAAAGTAAATAACCTGTGATTAAGATAAACAAAATAAAAATTATATAGTTATATAAATGATGTTGAGATGAAGGATTCTGTAAACTGGTGTCACATCAACATTCGAATCTGTCACTGAGCTCATGATGCTAGGGAAGTCTGAGAAATCTAGACTAGTGAGTCCTTGTAGCTGTAAGTTCTGTACAACACTATGAAGGAGGCACATGTCCCAGCTGCTTCCTAGCTTTCCTCATCACCCTTTTCTCCTGACACCTAAGAAACGTATTTCCTTCATCTGCTGACGTGTCCTCACTGGTCAGGTCTCAAGTAGGCATGGGAGCATATTATTGCATGTTTGGGAGGAATAAAGAAAAGGGAAATTGTTTGTTTCCTGGGATGTTACTCCTAAAAAGAGATAAAGGCTACAAGTATTAGATGCTACGTGAGAGTCGCAAGAGTCCCGAGAAGACAATGTGGAGAGACTGGGAAGGACTGAGCAGGGAAGATGCTGTGCGCTCTTGACCTCTAAGTCTGCAACACGGGCAATAACCCAATAACCATGTGTCCCACTGACAAAGTGCTAGTTTAACTGTAACATTTTCTAGTCTCTATAATGTGTCTTTTAGCTAATCAAATTAGGGACCTAATAGAACCAAAGCTGCAGCAGTTGCTGGAGCCACAGAAATAAGAAAAAGCGCAAGGCCTGCCTGTATTATGTGCATGATGCTTTGATGACTTAAGTTCCCTTCTGATCTTACATAGAAATACCAACAGTGGGAAAGAACTAAGAGAAATCAGTAAAGATAACAAACATTTGAAAATTAATGAGAAGTTTTATAAAATATTTCATACAAAAGGTCACAACAATTTGACCTGGTGTACAATTTAGATTAGCAGTAATCTACCACACAAATAAGTAAACCTCCTTAATTCTTTTTTCTGTCTGTGCACCTGGATTTTACACAACCACCACAACTATTGCTGTGTAAAAATGGTTTCGGGTGATCATCACCATCAAAACAATCAGCTTTTCTGGAACTCATAATCAACATGAAATTCTCCTTTCATCTTAAGTAGCTGCTCTGTTTATTCCTGTTCCCATTGCACTCTACGACTCTTAAGACTTTAATATGCAAGAAAGTGGGAATTCCTCAGTGTTTGATTCTAGTGTATAATTTTCATACTTACAACAGGTGTCCTGACGATCTGCATTTTTGTGACCATCAAATGTTACTTTGTGATTTGGCCGATAGAATACTCAATATTATGAAATAATCAATGGTTCAGAGTCACTCAGGAAAAGAGATGTCTTTCTAGAGGTTTGCCTTTAGGTCTTTAAATCCAAGAAAGGAAATTTATGGACTTAGCATAGCATGCTAGAATGAGTACGAACTTGGGGCCAGAAATCTTAGAAGAGAATACCTGTCAGTGCCTCGAATCCTCAAGAATCTATAATCAACAGTTGACTGTGATAAAGGACAACACATATAAATCACATTATAGACAGTCAGTCAACAAATCCTTGTTTTCCTTTGCTTTCTATTCAGTGTCATTGAAGGAGAGAAAACAACCCTTTTAGGGTGTTAAGTTCTTTCATAAGATGCAATAGAAAACAAATCTTCAGTTGTGAGCTAATGTCTAACATTTTTCAATGAATTGGGAGACTTGGTGCATAAAACCTTGTGTTATTTTGTGCCATTTGTTAAATAGCAATAGTGGGTTAAGTTTGTATCCTGAAACATACGAATATTAAATTCTGTGTTTTGTTTCTGATACTAGCTGGCCTTCTCTGATAGTGAGTACTAGTTTATGAAAGATTCCTTTCATTTTTACTTACAGCATAATGGGCTGAAATGTGTGGATTTTAGATAAGGAGGTTAGAGGCCATTTGAACATTTTTATAATTTACATGTTCTCATTAACAGTTAGATAGAGTTTACCAGTCTTTGTCAAATTTTATTTTTGACACAATAAGGACAAATTTGAGAACATGACTTCTGAGCACCCTTCCCAGTTGTCTGTCAGGGCAACATTTCTACAGGAGTTATTTAAAGAATTTTGACTGTAATGCAGCAACTTCATAAAGGCAAAATTTTACTTTTGCTTTTTGGAAAACTACTAGTAATTAGTTAACAAATCTGAATGAAAATGTAATTAAATTCTGTCTTACCTGGTCCAAAGTCTCCTAACGACTTTGTGTCTCTCTGAAGACATTCCCCACCCTCTCAGTTATACTACAAGGCATCACAGTTCTGTAAGGCTGCAGCTAAAATCTTGTTGACTTTCTTATTAAGCATGCAGAATAATGAGTTATTTGTGACATTTTTATACAGGTAGCACATTATATTTTGTCCCTCATTACCCACCTTTGTTTTCCTTTTCCTTCCTCACTGCGTCCCTCCTCCCAAAAACTTAATGTTCTGAAAAGCTCCTAAAATTTAATGTTCTTGAACCTACAGGTGATCCGAGCAATTTAGCAATTCATTTTCCAGTTTATTTTTGTATTGTTCCATATTTCCACTTAATTTCCCCCAATTTGCTAAGTTTATGAAAAAAAATGTTTATCAAATAATGCTCGTGTAAAATAGTACTGCATACTCATAAAAAAAAATCTAATTTCTGTCTACTAGTCTCTAGTGACAGAGCTACTCATTTAAAAAGTGACATTACTTTCCACTCTGAAGGATAAACTTATTGGATTATCTATTTAATGACGTGGGCAGGATGAGGAAGGATCTTGAAGCACAAACTTGGGTGCCCATGCAACAACCCACTTGTAAAAAGGCTAATTGTTTTTTATGTTAACAATTAATGTACCACTTACAAATGTCTAATGAAAAATTAAGGTATGTTAGGGTATAGCTGGTGGTAAAGATGAATTTGGCAGCCCTAGAATTCCTGGGGAAAAGATGAACCTTAGTGCCTGTTTTATATAAAGCTGTGTCAGGCAGGATGCAGAAAAATCCGGTGTCTTATTGCTCAGGGATCAGTGATCTGTGGCCCAAAGATGGAGCTGCCAAAGACACCCACTGTAAGGTTTTTGTAAATTAACTTCCACAGAAACAAAAACTCACTTGTTTTTATGTTTGAGCTCCACAAACAGGCTAAGTAACTACGGCAGAGAAAACATGGCTAGCGCCATCCAAGGAAAAACTGTGTGCCTCCAGGTCGTAAAGGAGCCATTTTTTTCATCGTTTTCATCAGGAACATTTAAAAAACAAAACAACAGTCCACTAACAACTCTTCAGCTTCTTACATTATCAGTTTTATGGCTGATACGATATCTTATTATTTTATATCTATTTAATAATTTATATAAATTACACAATTTAAATAGCTGTTATTTAATTTATTATAATTTTATTTCAGAAAAAAACAAGTAATACATGCTACATTTTCTAGAACTATATGATACATAATTTAAAGTACAAGAAATATATTTTAGTCTATCAATAAAATGAGCCAATGCAGTATCTAGCTGATAAAAAGGCTGATTTTCAGGTTTCTCCTCTAATGCTATAAGGGTGATTGTAAATAATGACTTCCCTGACAGGCGACTAGTGCTGAAATTCGATGTATTTCCTAAAGCTAGCACAGTATTGCTCACTAGCAAACCCCAGCATTCAAGAGGCTGAAGAAGGGGAAGTGTAAAATTCTGAGCCAGCCTGAGCTATGTTGCGAGACTTTGTCTCTAAACACTAAGAAAAAAATGCTCATTTTTTTTCATTTAATGTCTATAAAATTTTACATTTGCACATTAGTTAGCTTATTTTCATTATGTAGATTATGCCAAAATTTATTAGTTGTCATGTGCTAATGCTAAGGAAGCTCTTTCTTTAGAAAAACAAACTTAAAATAGTTGCTGTTGCTCGCTGCATTGGTGATGAGTTGAGTCCGTCCTACCTTGTATCACTGAAGGCCATGACCCAATGGTATTGCCCACCTCATGCTGCTGCAGGAATCAGTGAAGCTGCATTGGTCACTCAGATGCCAGGCAGACATTTTTGAAGGTTTATTGTTGTTGCTGCTCTTTTGCTATTTTGGTGATGCTGGCAATCAAAACCGAGCTCTTGCGCATGCCAGCCAATGCTTGGCCACTGGGCTCCGTTCTCAGTGCTGAGATCAGCACTTTCTTCAGCGTTTCTGACACCTGGTTACTTTCCGCTGCTTTTAAAAAGTTAAAGTCTGGTATCTCTACCTTTACAGGAGTGTAACTGTTAAGGGTATACTATACAAATGTTGCTAAAGGACAGTACTTGGGTAAAAGCTAATGTTTCTTTGGGCTCTTTTGTTTATATTTGCTGCTGGCATTAAGGAAAGATTCATCTTAAGAAAAGCTTCTTCAAAAAACTATTCAAAAATCTATTCTCTCAAAATGCATTTTCCTAGAGAATAACACATTCATTTACTTCCTAAAGTAATACCACAAGTAAAATTTCCCTGGCATACAATTGTAAATGTCTTCAGAAAACTCACCATAGTATTCTGTTTATATAGGTTTCTGACCAAAAGGATTTTTCTGAATAATTTTTTCTCTCATTTCCCCAACCAAAGACAGAATCATTTAACCATAAATTGTTCGATTTCTTAACTTTGCAATGTAAAGAAAGATATTTACATGGTATAATTATTAAAGAAATTCATTATGCATGCCACAAGATACTATTAAATTTAATATTCCAAAGTGATATCTTTTAGGTCCTTATGCATGAAAACCTGCTTTAAAAGTTATTGATCAGCCAAGGTGCTGGCTGTCAGTTGCTGAAAAAAAAAAATGTTGTCAAGCTTGAGCTTGATATCCCAAAGCAATAACTAGATGATCATTAGATGCATGCAGCTGCAGTAAAAGGCTGTGTTGATAAGAAAGTTACAGTCTAGAAAGTAAATATGTAAGC